TTGGTAAAAGTTGTGGATCCCATAAATATGTGGTCAAAAATGAGTTCTACGAAATGGGAGCCAAACAGGTAGTCAAGCTTGAAGACTAACCTTCAGGTTTGTATCCCAACTTCCTGTACATAAGGCACTCCCATCGGCTGATAATCCTAGACAGCTGATTCGATTGTCGTGGGAGTCATGCACGAATCCCAAATTCAAAACCATCTGTTCATTGAAACATGAGTTTTTTAAGTCGGGCCTCTAAAGAACGAATTGCATCGAACCAGAGGTAGCATAATGGCTGCAATGAAATTCAAAATACAAGAGAAAATGGAAACTCCGATGCCACATTTTTATTCAATACAGGATTGGCAATATATAGCACATGCATAATGAATAAGAATGCGATGTACCGTTGCCAACAAAGTGTCCCAGACATAGCAGTCACCGTTAGTGTACCCTGCAAAAAGGAGTCGGCCAGAGATGGAGAATGCAATGGAAGTCACAGGAGGGACGTCATTATCTCCATGAGGTTGGTAGTACACCTGCAGCTGGTGCCCAGTTCTAATGTCAAATAGTCTGCAAGTTCCGTCAGCGGAACCAGTTCCAAATCTATTACCATCTGGGAAGAACTTTACACTATTAACATCTCCCTCGTGACCATGAAAAGTACGTACTGCTCGACTAGCAACACGCATGTCCCACAGACGGGCAGTTGAATCACATGAGCCAGACACAAACATTTTAGAGTTGGATCCGTTTATTGAGATGCTGAATCAAAACAGTATGCATCAGATCACTTCTTAAACAACACACTTCAAGATAATATTTTCTTTAAAAAAAAAATAGAAAAAAAGAAGAAGAAAAAGAGATTGTCTGCATAGTGCACACCTCAGCACATCAGCAGTGTGTCCAGACTGGAATTCACCTCCAAAGACAGACGTCCTTAGGCCAGTTGTTATATCCCATAGTACACATGTTTGGTCACCAGAACTAGTTACCAAATGTGAATCTTCGTCTGGAACATACTGGCATGATGATACATAGCCCTTATGCCCACTAAGCATTCGGGTAACTGGCAGATTTCCATCCCTGTCCGTCTGAGAGTTGAGGTTAAATATTGAACAAACACTATCTAGCCCACCACAGGCAACTGACTGCCCGCTAGGAGAGAAGGCACAGGTCATGACCCATGCACAAGGAAGCTTAATTGCATGAGTTTTTTGGCTGGTGAGAGCATTCCACACTATTAATCTGCCATCTTGAGATGCACTGACTATGCGATTCTTTTCAGGAGTCCAATCCAATGAATACACCTGAAAATTCTTTTGCAATTACTTGCTGAAACATTTTAAGAATTTAAGTAAATAAGAGATATTGCATCAAATATCTGGGTTCAATTTTCTGATATTCACGACTCAATGTGAAATCCATCTTATGTATCCTACCAATTGTACAAACAAGTTACTAACAGGTTTGTGTTAATTTCTTTTGGCAACATAAATATTGCAATCCATGCCAACTAGTTGCTGTACAGAATGAGGCAAAAAAGTAGATGGCAGCCAATTTGAAGATCTAATTTGCAGCATGAAAAGATTCCTTTTCTTAATATTATGTCATGCCATTTTTATCTGGCTGTATCTGTACAAATCTATTGTAATTTTATGCCACTTCTTATAATAACTTGATTCTGGAAAAAAGACACCTAGTATAGCATAGTAAAAATAATAATCTGGAACAAAAAGAAGGGATTTTTCTTACATAACCTTAAGAAATAATATGACATAATGCTCAAGGACCTCACCATATATATATATATATATA